GCTTGTTGCTTCTGTGCTGCACTGGTTATTCAGTGCTGCTATAATAGAAATACCACAGGTGGAATGGCTTTGACAACAAATGCATCCTTTCAGCATGTAGGAGACGGGATGTCCAAATTCAGGGTGCCAGCTGTAATAGAAGGCTTTTTTCTCTGTCACCTTTGGAGAAAAGTCTTTGTCTCCTTCCAACATCTGTGGGCCTTATGCTCCTGGGAGATCATGTTCACACCCATCTTACCCTGGGTCTAGGAGGTTCTCAGCACAGGGCCCTGGATGTAAAGGAAGTGCCTCCCACCCCACCCACCCGCCCGGCTCTTCTTTCTTGGTGGTAGTCAGGATGCTCTGATCTGCTTTCTTTTTAAAATCTCTTTTATCTCTCCAAAGAGATTGTCTTATGATACAACCTAAAACTTTATCCTGCCTCATTAACATCATAGAGATTTGAATTTACTGCACGTAGGATCAGTAAATGGAGGATAATACCGAGAATCATGGCCTAGAAAGTTGTGGCACTTAGAAGATTAAAGTAGGTCTCACTGGGTAAGTAAAAGCAAGGTAATAGTAGGCTTGCCTTTCTCCTGGAAGCAGTAGGATAGAATGCATTTCTTAGTTGCATTTTTTTTCCCAGGTGGTTTCTAAGGGATATCTGCACACCTTGACTTGTGGTCTCTTCCTCCACTTCCAAAGTCAGCAGTACATTATGATCAAATCTCTTCCTTTCGCTGTCCTCTGCCATCACATTTCATCTTTCCACTCAACTTTTCTGCCTCCATTAAAAAAAATAATTTTATTGGGGCTTCGTATAATTTACCACAATCCATACATACACCCATTGTCAAGCACATTTGTACATTTGTTGCCATCATTATTCTCAAAACATTTGCTTTCTAATTCAGACCTTGATATCAGCTCCTCATCCCTTACCCCACCCCTCCCTCACAAACCCTTGATAATTTAGAAATTGTTATTTTTTCATGTCTTACACTGGCTGTCTCCCTTCACCCATTTTTCTGTTGTGCATCGTCCTCCAGGGCAGGGGTTATATGTAGATCATTGTGATTCGTTCTCCCCTTTTCCTCCACCTTCCCCTTCCCCTCCTGGTCCTGAGGGGTTATCTGTCTGAATTCCCTGTATTTCCAGGTCGTAGCTGTTCCAGTGTGCATCCTCTGGGCTAGCCGGATTTGTAAGGTAGAATTGGGATCATGGTAGTGAGGGGGAGGAAGCATTAAAGAACTAGAGGAAAATTGAATGTTTCATCATTGCTACACTGCACCCTGACTGGCTCGTCTCTTCCCTGTGATCCTACTGTAAGCAGATGTCCAGTTGTCTACAGATGGTCTTTGAGTCTCCACTCTACTCTCCCCCTCATTCATAATGATATGATATTTTATTCTTTGATGCCTGATACCTGATCCTATTGATACCTGGTGATCACAGGCTGGTGTGCTTCTTCCATGTGGGTTTTATTGCTTCTCAACTAGATGGCCACTTGTTTATCTTCAAGCCTTTAAGACCCCAGACACTATATCTTTTGATAGCCAGGCACCATCAGCTTTTCTTCACATTTGCTTATGCATCTACTTTGTCTTCAGTGATCATGTCGGGAAGGTGAGCATCATGGAATGCCAGTTTAAGAACAAAGTGTTCTTGCATTGAGGGAGTACTTGACTAGAGGCCCAATGTCCATCTGCTACCTTAATACTAAACCTATAAATATATGTACATAGATCTATTTCCCCATCATCATATATAAATGTGTATATATATATACACATGCCTGTATTTAGACCTCTATAAATGCCCTTTGCCTTCTAGTTCTTTTATTTCCTTTTACTTTCCTCTTGTCCCACTATCATGTTCAACCTTCATTTGGGTTTCAGTAATTCCTCTTGGTTACATTGCCCTTGATTAAGCCCCATCAAGCCTCCTACATCCTCCTTGCCATCGATTTTGGGTCACTTGTCCCTGGGTTTGTTAACAACCATATCATTTCCCCCGCCTTCCCCTCTCTCAGGTCACCGCCTCCCCCTCCCCCCAACTGTAGGTCCCATTGTTTTCTCTAGATTCTTTATCTCACCTATCTTATCTAGATAGACCTGCAGAGATAAAAATGTGCACACAAAACAAGAGACAGCAAAACAAAGTATGGAGTTTCTTCTTGTGTAGAATTGGGATAAGTTTATCTCCGTTATAGGAATGCACTGAAAATTAATTAGCCTATATTCACCACTGGCAGAGTGCCTGACACAGAAATGTCCTTACATTTGGTTGTTGTGTTATGTTTCTGGAGTGTGTTATATGGTACCTCAGTTCTTTGAGTTGCATGTTTTAAGAATTCACGCTGAAGCACGTTTTGTGATCCAAGTGAGTTTTTATGAAGGACAGGACAAGTTTCAGGTGTTACAGTCTCAAAGGGGTACCCACTTTTTCTGGGAAGCACGCCAAGCTGTGCAGAAGTTGTGCTGGGGTTCACAACTGAACATGAACAACCACGTGGAAAAGAGCATCCACATATGTGAAACGGGGGATTCCAGGAGGCCAGAAGCCCAAGAACCCTAGAGACTAAGAGCATGTGTGCCCAGAGGCTGTGGGCCCTGAGCAGGCCCTGAGCAGGCACACACCCGTGTGGGGAGGGAGACCTTCACCCTCTACCCGCTGCTGACTAGGAACAGGGTCAGAGAGTGAGGCCTTCCCACAGCCTGAATATTTCAAACCTCTGACTGTGGAGGCATGGTTGATGGTATTAGTTGCCCCATTGGCTAAGTTAAGCTCATCTGGGTGATGTCATCAGTAGGGCCTAGTTTGGATGCCCATGTTTACCCCCCACCTGGCTCTGGGGCTTGAGTATAAGCATGCTCAGTTTGGAGTTTTCATAGGTGTCTAATGGTTGCCTGATTTCTTTCTAACCTCCTCCATTGGGGCCTTTGCAGGCATGGGAGGGACAACCCCCTCCCTCCCAACCCACCTAACAGTTTCAGGTCTGTTTTGAAAGTGTTCTTATCTAGTTGCTGAGAGATTTGGATTTGGTCTACACTGCTCAAACGGTGTAGGATTTCCTCAACTCTAAGTGTGTAGCTTGCTTTTTTTTATCAGCTTATGAGAAGTGGCAGATGACTCAAGTATTACTAGGACTCCTACTTGCAAAAGGAAGAGCTTTCCGTCTCCCATCTCTCTCACTAATTTCTAGGCATGTCACGGGGACATTTTACATAGATTCACACAGACAGCCCTCTCAAGACTTCTCATTTTGTCCACATTTGGTTGTTTGGTTCAAACAACCAAAACAGGTAATACTTAGGGTAAGAAATAGTAAGATATATTAGACAACTACAACTGGCATATTACAGAGAACGAGAGAGTAAAGAATACCGTGGACACGATAAATGATTTTAAGCTGGCAGTGTCTCAGAGAATGGACATAGAGAAACCGTGAAAGTCTTTGGACGACAGACAGGAGTAGGGCCATTGTCCAGTCACCATTGCCTCTCTTACCTCTCATATGGGACACGGTTCTGTTGCTACCCTTAGAATTCTCAGGCTAATTTCTAATATTCTCCCTGCTCATTGTGAAGGCAAGGCTAAGAAACCAATGAGAGAGGTAAGGGTGCCTTGATATTCAATTCTATTGGTAAACAGGCTGAATCAAGGGCATCTGCAGAAAGTGGGGGAGACATTAGAGGTATCCCTCAGTCCTGTCAGTAGCTCACTGCCTGAAGACGGCTGGTTGGCAGAATTGGTGACGAGGAGCCACGCTGAAGTCACTCATATGGACAGAAGCCAGCTGAGTACAAGCAGAGATCAGAAACAGATAATCTAAGTTTTCATTTGACTTTTCACACTAAGTAACTAAAATGTATTATTTCATGTAGTTCTTAAATAGACAAACCTCACTGTTACCTTTTTAGTTTGTTAAGAATTTAAGCTAGCTTGCTATGTTAATAGATGATCGTTGAGAAAAAAAATACACCTGAAAAATTGTATGCAGATAATTAGTCCAAGACTGGTTGTTAACAACAATGAGCACTATTCCGTGGAATGTTTTCTCTAATCCATTCAAACTTCAGGATTATTGATATTGAAGAATTTAAGGCCACCGTGTGCTGTGTGTTTTATATTAGTTAAATAGGCAGGGTTGGACACATTTTCCAGCCTAAGCACTCTAGTGGACTGTTATATGCTGGGAAGCTAACCCCAAGGCCTGCAGTTCAAATCCAATTGCAGCTTGGGGCCAGGGAAGGAGGTGGGAGGGGCGGGGAATGAAGCTGTCTGCCCTTGTAAAGAGAATAGACTTTCTGGCAGTGGTTTTTTAAGCACAAAATATAGCTACCTGGCTCCTTTAAAAAAATCTCTTACAAGCATGTTTAAGATCTGGTTTATTAGGATGAAATTTGGTCACTATCTCATATACTAACACTATCCATATTATTTATATATATAATACTGATAATACAAGTGTTAAGTGAAGACTCCATTTTAGAAACTTTTTAATCAGCTAGGGCCAGTCTATCTAAGAAGTATGCGAAATACCGATTTAACATATGTTTAAATATGATAGTTATCTATATCCAACAGTTATTACTAGGCTTTAAATGATTTTTTTTTTAATAAGGGAGGAGCCTGGGTAGCACAGGGGGTTCGCTTGGGACTGCTCCAAGGGGAATGGTCCAAACCCACCAATTGCTCCTAGGCCTGTAAAGGCCGTCTCAGAAACCCACAGGGCAGTTCTAGTCTGTCCTCAGGTGGAATAGAATTGGTTACAGTTAATTTTCTTTTTTGACATGAGGGGTCTTCAAAAATGGAATAGAAAAAAATGCTATTTCCCCACAAACTTTTTGAAGTCCTTTTATATGGTTTTCCCCCAAATGGGTGAAATAGTCCCCTGGGGGTTCTGCTATAAAGCAGATACTGACACTTGATTCTGAATAATATTTTCAGAAAAAAAGGGGCAGTGGGTCAAATAAATTTGGTAATAGACTATGAAGAATAATTTATATTAAAGATATCTTTATAAATAGTGATTATTTTATTACCATATAATGTGCATAACGCTGTTAAGGACAACTAAAACAATATTTAAACCAAAATGTATGAATAACAAAAATATAAGCAGTATTGAAGGAAACTGAACAATCACAGGGAGAAAACAGTTATCCTCAAATTGAGCAATATTGAAAAATACTCATTTGTACCTAGAAAAGCTTGAAAGCTTCATAATGAACACATCTGTCTATTCAAGGAGCTGGACTGAAGCAGGGGCTGCAACCGGGAGGCTGGGTGCATTCGGCTCCGCAGTACCCAGGGTCGCGAGGCGTGGGCTGCGACTCCACACACAGCCTCTAGTGAAGCGATGTCCTGTGCAGGCGCACATCCATGGAAAAGTAAACCCCTCCAGGGAGCAACTCTCAGCACATTCTTGCTTCCTTTGGCACTTACAATTCAGACAAAGGTGGGTTTGGTTTAATGTGATTTTATTATTCTTAGATAAATTTTGTTATTTTATATAGATAAAAATACAATATTGCTTTCAAAAACTTAAAAAAAACATCATTGTCAACCTACTCACAATTTATAAAGCTTATATTTTTACTAAGCATAATTTATCCAATAACATATGGAAGACACTAGCAAGAATGGTTTAGATGAAGACTTTTACACAGGCTTTAAATGTGAACAGGGAATACTAATGTAGACCAGTGGCCTATCTCATACTAGAAACAAATGATGTTTCAGGCGAATTTGATTTTCTTCAATACTTAAAGTGATTATACTTTTCACTGAAAATACTTGGTACTGACAGATATTTTGTCTGAAGCCATTTTTATATACATTAGTTAACAACATAAAAAGAAATTAAAATTTAATACATTTTATTCCGGGATTCCATCAGTCTTCATTAAAAAAAAATACATGTAAACCATATTTACACTGCTCAGAGGTCATATTTAAATAGGTATGTGGCAGATGGTGGCATTTTTTCTTTTAAATCACTCTGCTGGTATAATGATTACTTCACTTAATAAGAACACCCTAATGTGTGAAGTTAAAGTTTTATGGTTGTATTTTTCTTAAGACCATCTTAAAAGCAGTTTGGATCATTATTAGATTTCATAAAACAGATACTGATAAAATATACAACACCAAACATATTTAAGTGCATATATAAAATATAGGCTATTTAAATGAAAGACTGAAATTATTACCAAATAATTTTGTTCACTACAAACTGCACAGCGCACCATCCTTTCACTCATAACAATACTTTGCACCAAATATTGGTATCTTCAATCTTAAACACTCCTCAAATAGGAGAAAAACAATTTTCCCCTGTTTTAAGAAAGGAATTCATAAAGTCAACGTAAAGTATATATGAAAGGATTATAGATCTAGAACACTAAAGACAACATTTACATACTAACATGAGCACCTTGCTTAATTTAATTAAAACTAGAAGAAACACAGCTGTTTCCCTTCAATGTAATTTAATAAACCTGGCTGCATTTAAAAGATGTAAAAACTTCATCACATCCAACCATCTTTGTGGAGATTCCAATAAAGGTAAACAGCAGTACATCTTTTTCTTCAAGAAACAATAAAATTTAAGTGCTACTATTTTAAGTTAAATATTAAAAAATAATTTGACAGGACATCTTACTGTCATTTTAATAATTATTTGCCCTTCACCTGAAAAAAAAGGTGGATTAAGTAGTGCAATTAAAACATGCCTGAATTAATAAAAATGATTGGCTTAAAGGAAAATGAATAATAGTGCACAAAAATGTTATTAATTTAAAAAGATAAACTATTTTATATAAAATAAACATCCTACAGTGTTATGAGTTGAAACATGTGAGGCACTTGGATTAACAGAAAAGCACTGTGATTGTCTTTTTTTATAAAAACACCAAACCACTAATTTTACCATTTGAGATAAAAGTAGAATTATTAAAATTGATTAGTTTTGTACCTTTGTATTTATGAGAATCCAGAAATTCAAAACTTGAAGTATTTTTTTTTATTCTGATAGAAATAATTTGAGTGGAGAGTTCAAATAGAGGAATTTTCCTTTATTTGAAAGATAAAACGTTCTGGAGAGGTTGTGCATATCTTGTAGGGCTCAGGACACTGTGAAATGGAGTACACCATTCAGTGGGAACATCATTTAAGGACTGTGGTATACAAATTTTACTTTTCCGTTTTAAACTTCTAGTCATGGCAAACTCAAGTATGCTCTAGAACACCAATGGAATCAATTGCACCAATGCTTCCATATCACCTTGCTGATAACCCAAACTAACAGGTTTTTTACTCTGCAATCCTTTACAAGCTAATTTAAGCAGCATCCACATACTGAGGTGAAAGTGGGCTTGGAATTACAGAAATCTACTGGATGTCAAATCAGAGGAAGGTTTGGCTTCTGATGGATGACAAGGAGGCTGAAGATATGTGGAAGTTTGAGTGTTACTTATGGTATGTGATTTCGCTGGGTATGTTTCATTGAAAACACCTCCATTCTGGAATGGAAAACAAAAACAGCAATGTTAATTAGATCACAAAATTCCTAAAGATATATTATTACACATTATGTATCACTTATATTTATATAACTTTTGTTTCTCTGGTCATTCGGCAAGAAATCTTATAAATGGTACCGGGAGTGATTCAACATTTTCACTTCATATGTTAGGAGCTATTTGGTCAGTGAGTTATCTGGGTAGGACAGGAACTGAAGAGTACAGAGTAATAGTCAAGAATAATGTCCTTTGCCCTAAGTAAACACGGTAGGTTTGCTTTCACCAGAACTCATCTCAGCTGCTTCTGGGGAATGAGCAACAGATAACATTCAGGTTACTACAGGGCCTCCATCATGCACCCTAGCAGGTTGAACCCCAAATGACAGCATGAGGAAATGCATGAACGACACGAGTCAGATGACCTTTATTTTTTAAACTTTCAGACTAAAGTCATGTCCTTAATTGCTTTGAATGAATTCTTTTCTACAGTCTATGTTAACATTTTGCTCCAAAGAGGTAAGTTCTGATTTTCTACAAGGTTATATTTCTAATTTTATTTTTTAATAAACACAACTAAAATATTACTGTATATACTCGTGTATAAGCTGAGTTTTTCAGCACATTTTACCACATTTTTTTTGTGGTAAAATTAGTGCCTTGGCTGATATTAGGGTCAGCTTATACTTGAGTATAGCCAGTGTGTTTTGTTAACAAACAAATGCTAAAATCTCCTTTTAACTTCTTATATTTTCTGGTGTTTGTAATAGTCAGTCATAGAGCCTTTATGTTTTTATACTTGGTAAAGTTGTATAAGACTTTCAGATTAACAGCTTTAAATAAATTCTATGGCCCTATCATTCTACAGTCACCAATCAAAATGATGATTTTTTCAAGTGCAGGGCAATCTTATTTGTCCAGATAATGATGGGTTTCGAGTGAGTAACATCAGTCTTTCCACAAATGCCAGTAATTCTCTTTCACTGCACTTTAGTTTTCTAGCAGCCCTGGTGTCATTGACGAGTTGGACTCGACTACATGGTATTGAGGTAAAATTAACCTTAGTAATATGTTTTACTTAATCTAATATATTCAAATGTTCAATTGTCACATGTGGGTGGAAGGGCCCCTAGTGAATTGTGCAGGCCTACAGAGTCATTATCTTGTTACTCATGAAGGAGACAACACACTCGTAAGCACTCACAGGTACTAAAATGAGCCCTTTTCACAATGTCCCTTTAAATCATTAAGTAACTCGACTAGCACTTTTATTC